GGAGCAGTTGCCCTCTGACCCCGCTAGGGTCGCTCCGAGTCAGAATTGACTCGGTGGGTGTGGGTTTGGTCTTCCCCTCCGGTCCCCATCACTTCTATCATCTCAAAGCGGGCAGACACACCGACAGTTGACAGGGTGGAAATCACCCCCCGCTGGGGCAGCCGGGAGGCCTGGATGGGTTGTTACTTACTGAGCCCAGTGGATCAGGGGAGCCAGTCTGATGATAAGTGGGGGTGGGGGGCGCTTTCACCCACAGGGACAGGAGGTGTGTGTGGCGGTCTGCAGACCCGAGGTCAACGGCATGCGGGAAGGGTACTAGTGGTCCAGGGGGAGGTTGAAGAGAGGCCGTTGGGGTCCTGGACATGGCCTGTGATAGGGTGACAGCCCCACCACAGAGGTGGCCTGGGTGTGTGCGGGGCAGGGAGGAGGCAGGGGCTCAGGGCTCCTTTGTGGGGTCAGTGGGTACTTTGAGAATCAGCTGACTGCCTGTCTGACCATCCTCACAGTGCCCAGCTGTTATGGGTTCTGTGCCTGCTGGAATGCCGCCCAGGGCTTGACCTCAGAAGAGGTCTGCCCCCAAAGCCAGAGGGCACTGAAGAAGCCCAGTGGTCTCTGGGGGAAAGGGAGCTCCTACAAGCCCGTTTTACCAGTCAATCCAGGTTAGTGCCGATGGCACCCAGCCCAGCCCTCACCAGTCTGGGGACAGAGGGGGTGGGCAGTTGTCAGAAACAAAGGCTTCTCCAAATGCCACATGCTGAGGAGAGGAGAGAAACGGGAAGAGGCAGCGGGGCTGCTTTATCAGACAGTGGGACCAGCTAGCCTGTCTGCCTCTGCCTTCAGCTTGCTACTGATGGGCCGCAAGGATGGTGGGCTATGACCCCAGCACGGACTGCAAGAATATCTCCAAGTTCCAGGTGGCGGTGGCCGGCTCCCTGTCTGGATTTGTCACTCGGGCGCTAATCAGCCCCCTGGATGTCATCAAGATCCGCTTCCAGGTGAGCTGGAGGGTGAGGGTGCACAGGGTCCCCTAGCCCTTGGAGTTGTGGGCTCAGAGGAAACCCATTTTCACGATGGCTTCCGGAAGTGCCCGTCTCACCTAGGGTCAGAGGACCCGGCAAGCACGGGCTCTTAGGTGCTCCCTCACGCATGTGCAAGGTCATGACATGCCATGAAGGGTGCTGCTCTGGTGATGCCACATCCTTCTCCCCGCCACACGGCCCCTCATCCACATGCCCACCCAGGAAGCAAGGTCAGCACAGGCTCCCATGTGCTTACTGATGAACCACATGTGACGCTGTTGGCTACAGACAAGTACATAATAAGCAGATGTGAGCTTGGGCATCCCTTGCCCGTTGGGTCCTCTGCCCCCATTCCTAACCTGCCACCTGACTGCCTACCCCCCAATGCCAGCTTCAGATCGAGCGCCTGTCCCGCCACGACCCCCAGGCAAAATACCATGGCATCATGCAGGCTGGGAGAAAGATCCTGCAGGAAGAGGGCCCGGCAGCCTTCTGGAAAGGGCACATCCCAGCCCAGATTCTCTCCATCGGCTACGGAGCTGTCCAAGTAGGTGGCAGGTGGCCTGGCCAGGTCCCTGGGGGATGATGGCTCAGTGGAGGGACTGGGGTAGGGGTGGGGGTAGTGCAGGGGGAGGAGGCCAGAGGAAGAGGCAGGCCACACGCTTTCCCTGCTCGGCGCATGGGGACCTGCCCAGCCAGTTGGCATCTTGTTCAGACTGAGCGGTAGCTGTGGTGTCTCCCATGCCCCTAGATACCCGGGAGGCTGTCTAGGTACCAGGGGCCCACAGGGCCCACCGGGTGAATGGCGATACCAATGCTTTTGATTTTGAATCTCATGTTCACCTCTGGGACCATTTGGAAGTCAGAGCAGCATTGGAGGAAAGGGGAGCAGGTGACAGGTCACCAGGAGGTGACGTGGGTTGTCTGAGGTCGCACAGCTTAGTGGGGATGGGACTGTTTCTAGGTAACTTTCAACTCAGCGCCAGTAGCTTTCCCAGTCGTTGCGTAGTAGTTGAGGAGCCCTGGTGGCCTAGCGGTTAGGTGCTGGGTTGCTAACTGCAAGGTCAGCAGTTCAAATGCACCAGCTGCCCCATGGAGAAGGATAAGGCTTCTTATATTCCCACAGGGAGTCACAGCCTCAGTTCTGCCCTGCCCTAGGATGCCTCTAGGCGTCCGAACCCACTTGCTGGGAGTGAGTGGTTTTTCATTTGGGGGGTATTTCCTTAGTCCTGATGGAGCCGTCAGCTGCGTCTGATTCCGCAGGGGGTTTGGGATTGATTCCGTTCCATCCCTGAGTGGGCTGAGTCTCCCCACCTGCTCATCCTTACATCCGGGCTTCACCTGGGTTCTGGACCGAGCCCTGGGGCACTGTGTGGTCTGTCCCAGTCTCCTCCCGCACCCCCAGCTGCCCCTGACCTGGACCTCACCTGCCCCTGCAGTTCCTGTCCTTTGAGCTGCTGACTGAGCTGATGCACAGAGCCAGCCGGTACGACGCCCGTGACTTCTCCGTGCACTTCCTGTGCGGCGGCCTGTCGGCCTGTGCGGCCACCCTCACCGTGCAGCCCATGGACGTGCTGCGCACCCGCTTTGCGGCTCAGGGTGAACCTAGGGTAAGTGGCCAGGGGCCCAGGGGGCAGAGGGCTGGCAGGTGGGTGCTATGAGGGGTTGGGGTTCTCTTTCTTCAGAGAAAGGGACAAAAGCCACACCACCACGGGCAGGGGCCAGGGACTGAGGAGACAGGAGAGCCTGCTGCTGTGCCCTTGTGACAGTGTCCCTGCTCCTCCACAGAGTGGGCTGGGCTGGGGAAATAGAAACACCCTGCGGAGGGAAAGCCAGGGATGAACCCTGAAATGGAGCCCCCCGAATCTGCTTCCTCCTGAACACATCGGAGGATAGCGCCCATGTGTGTGCGCCCAAGCCAGAGGGAAGGAAAGTGCTTGGTTCTCTCTCACGCTGCCAGGCTCTCCTCCCACGACCCTCTCAGAGCAGGTGGCAGGGGAGCCGGGCACCATCCAGTTCTTCTGGTCTCGGGGGCCACGGAGGCAGAAGTTTGAGGGGTCTGATAATCCTTTGGATGAATTGTGCCCTTGCTTCTCTTTGCCCTGATGGGAGAGACTGATCGTTCCACCTTAGGAGACCACTCAAGCTTCGAGGACCCCGGTCTCCATGTGCCGCAGCAGCACTCAGCAGGAGGTGGAACGTGATCTCAGCACCAGTGGGACAGCCGACCTCGGTGTCCCTGGAGAAAGAAGACGTCTCTCCGGCTTCCTTTCGGTCGAGGATTACTGTTGCTGGGAAAGGCCTCTGGCCTTAGAAAAACAGTGACCTGGGGCCCGGGAAGACCGACCTGTTTGAACCCTTCCAGTCTTTGAGTTCCCAGGGCGGAGGAGACATCCGGGCGCCTTTTTGTGGAAGAGCAGAGGCTCCAGGGAAGAGTCTGGAAGTGAATGATTGGGGCCTTGGGGCTGATCCAGTAAAAATGGGAGTTGGATGGGGTGGGAGAGGAGGCAGAGGGAGGGGGAACGGTTTACGGAGAAAGGGGCAGGCAGACCTCAGCACCTGGTGGCTGCTGGGCCGCAGGAAAGTCGACTGCTGACGGCCCTTTCCCTTCGCCGCTCTGGCTCTGCCGTTCCCCTCCGCTATTACGTCGAAGCCATTATGGAATCTGTGAGAAAGACGAGCGGAGGCTGCTACCTTCCGACCTGGTTCTCGGCTGTGGCCTGGTCAAAGAAGGGCAGGGGGAGAGGCCCCTGGCTCACTTTCTCTTCCTTCATTGTTCACAGCTTCCTCAGCACCTCACCCACATGCCAGCCCGTTCAGTGATCCAGTCCTATCAGGAAACTGCCCGAGCACGGTGCCATCCCACGTAGTTCCTCCTTTGTGTCTCGTTGTGGCCAAAGTCTACACAACGAAGCAGTCTCCAACCCCACAGTTTGGTGCCGTAGATTGTGCTCTGCGTGTGGAACAGCCATGGTTAATAGTCTTTTCCACATTTCCCTCCTGCCTCTGCCTCACTCAGCGCCCCCGCCCAAATAAGAAGCCAAACTCGCTGCCTTGAGTCCGTGCTGACTCACCATGACCCCTGTGGATTTGCAAGACTGTGACTGTTTGCGGGAATAGAAAGCCCAGTCTCTCTCCCTGGGAGCTGCTGGTGGTTTCGAACTGCCAACCATGCGGATCACAGCCCAACATGTAACCACTAAGCCACCAGGGCCCCCTGCCACCCTGCTTGGGTCCAACCTCTACTGACTTCACAGTACGCGGAATCATCTAGTCTGAGGTTGGAGTCTGTCACTGCTTAATGCACTTGGGGTTCCTCCCCGTGGCTCCCCCACGGGAGCATCCAGAGTGCATCTCCTGGAACGCATCCCCCTGTGCAGGTGGCCAGTGTGTCCGTCTTGTACCTTCCTGGGAGGGGTGGTGCTGGCAAGCCCCACCCTTTGAGCGTTTGTCCAGCACGTTGTCTGACTGGAAGGAGTGCTCCTGTTTGTGGGTCGAGGCCCACAGGGGGCCGAGTGTCTGGTGAAACGGCTGCATGAGTTGTGTCTGTGTATGTGTGTCCCTAGGTCTACAAAACGCTCCAGGACGCCATGGTGACCATGTACCGGACAGAAGGCCCCTTGGTCTTCTACAAGGGCCTGCAGCCCACGCTGCTGGCCATCTTCCCCTACGCCGGCTTCCAGTTCTCCTTCTACAGCAGCTTGAAGCAGGCCTATGAGTGGGCCGTGCCTGCCACGGAGGGGAAGACAAACGGTGAGGCAGCCCCCAGGCGAAAGGGACCTGTCACCCTCCCCCCACGCTCCCCCTGGCTCCTCTGAGTCACCCAGGAAATCATTCAGTCTGGAGATGAGACCCACCTCCCGCCCCGCCCACCCCCGCTGTGTGCTGTCTGGCTTTCCATGGGGCCCAGTTCCAGCAGCCTGGCAGCACTCTACCCGCTGCGGCCAGGGCTCAGCAGCCTGTGGAGGAGGGTCTGCTGTTCCTTCCTGTTTGACTTTGAGCAGATCCCGTAGGGGGTAGCATCCTCGTGTCCCGCCCTCTCTGGCATTGAACTCAAGGAGTCACCTGGCAGTTCCCTGATTGCCACTAGCCAGGGAGGTGAGGGGCCGTGACAGGGTGACAGGGGCGCCTTGCCTTCCTGCCACCAGCAGTCTCACCTGCAGCCCATCATTGTCCGCACGGGGTCCCCACCCCCCACCCCACCCCCGCCGTCTCATCTCCTCCTCCCCCTGCCCCACCCCCATGTCCCAGGCTCGCTCTTGGAAGGTCTGGGGGCCAGTTCTGCACTGTCCTGTGGGGTCTTCCGAGCCAGAACCCCTCCATAGTAGCCCCTCTGCTTGCGTGGTGGCTGTGCCTGGGTCCGGCCAGGAGGAGATCCCTCTCTGAGGTCACACCAGGCTTCCTCCAGTGGCTCCTTTTCCTGGCTGGCCACCCATTTTTACCTCTCTGCCCCCACCCCACTCCACGGCTCAGGGAACATCAAGAACTTACTCTGTGGCAGTGGTGCCGGCGTAATCAGCAAGACGCTGACGTACCCCCTGGACCTCGTCAAGAAGCGGCTGCAGGTTGGAGGGTTTGAGCACGCCCGAGCGACCTTCGGCCAGGTGAGCCGCCTCCCCGCAGACAACTCTGGCCCTTCCTGCTCACTGGGCACCCAGAGGAACTGAGGGTCAGCTCCCACCCGCCGGGCCAGGCAGCATTGGTCATCTCAGCCCTCGACCCCCAGCCCAGCCTCGGGGTGCCCAGCACACAAGAAAGGCTCCAGCAGCCCTGTGCCCTCGTGCATGGAGGAGAGCTGGGGGAGGGACACCCAGTCTCTGCTCTTAGCCATAGAGTACGTAGATTATATTCATATAGTGGACTCCAAGCCCACTGCCACCGGGTCCACCCTGGCTCCCAGCCACCCTGTAGGACAGTGCAGGACGGCCCCTGTGGGGCTCTGAGATCGCCGCTCTTTTCTCCCTGAGAACAGCTGGTGGTTTTGAACTGCTGACCCTGTGGTTAACAGCCCGACCAGTAACCCACTGCGCCACCAAAGTGGGTTTTTGCCTCCTTTGGAGCTCTGATTCTATAAATGGCCCCAGGATACCCGGGGAGTGAGAGGAACAGGGGTGCAGGGTGGAGTGCCCTCCGGTGGAAGCAGCCTGGAGTGTGAAGGTGCAGGTACACACCTGAGGTAGGACAGAAAAGGATGGAGCGTGCGTGCCCTGCGGAGGGAGGGGGCAAACCTGGGCTTGTCACCCACTCCCCAGCTTCCCACAAGGTTGGGGTCACAGACCGGGTCCTTAAGCAAACCTGGCGGAGGAGGATGTCATGACATACATTACATACCTGCCAGGTACAATGTCCTTTAAACGCCCACTCACAGACCCAGAACAGCCCAGCCACAGAGAATGGCCGCAGCCAGCCTGGCACACAAGCTTCCCGGCGAGTGGCCGGTGGCCTTGGTGAAATGTGCAGAGTTGTTGGGCAGTAGGTCTTGTTTCACCAAAGGACACATTTCACAAAAGGAGCTCGTTTTCTGCGTTGAAAGAAGTAGAAAATTCAGGCAGCAAGCAAGGTCCCATCTCCAGCCCTCAGCAATCACCCCAAAGTTTCTGGTCTAATTTCCTGCGTCAACACAGGTGCACATTTCTTAACGGAGGTGGGCTTGTTCTAGCGACAGGGCTCTCCACTTGCCACTTGGTCCAAAAGGGCCGTTTGGATTTGAGTGAGAGCTCAGACAGAGGAGAGAGGCCCTGCTCCTGATGGAGACCTGAGGAGGGCACATGGGAGATCAGGTCTGGAGGAAGGTTGAGGTCAGACAGCGGAGCACCTTGACTGCCAGGCTGTGGCGCCTGGACGTGGCTCTTCATGATGTCACCGTTCTCTCGTTGCCGGGAGGTTTTGGAGGGGAGCGAACCCTGAGCTGGCTTTGGCTAAGGTTTCTGCTCTGTGTGGCCAGCTGGAGATGGGGGTGCTGAAGGCTGGGGTGCTGCTCAGGCCCCAAAGGGTATCAGCAGCTGGATTCAGACCTGCTGCCCCGAGAGGGACAAGCCGGGAGGGGGCCCAGAATCACAGGCCTTCTGAGAAGAGTGTGTGCAGCTGCTGACAGGACCCCCTAAGTGCCAGCAATGACAGAGGACGGCCAGCTGGGACTTCTCTGAGGAGGGGCTCTGACCTGTGGGCGCCACCTCTGTGGAAGCAGACAGAGCCCACCTGGGAAAGAAAGAATGAGATGACCTTACATCCCTTCCCCCAGCCAGTGCTGTCTTGGCACAGGAAGAGCACTGGCCAGCCTGATCTTTGTCGCCTCCTCCCTCCTCAACTCCAGTATCCTTTCTCACCCCCAGGTTCGAAGCTACAGCGGCCTCCTGGACTGTGCCAAGCAGGTGCTGCAAGATGAGGGCTCCCAGGGCTTCTTCAAGGGCCTGTCGCCCAGCTTGCTGAAGGCGGCCCTCTCCACGGGCTTGATGTTCTTCTGGTATGAGCTCTTTTGCACCATGTTCTACAACTTGAAGAAGGCAGATTCCTAGCTTTGAGGGGCCTCTCCGAAGGGAAGACGCCCTCTCCAGTGTCACGAGTGGAGAGGTGCTATCTGGGCTGCTCCTCCCGCCAGCCATCCTCCTGACCAGGCGGCGGCCTCGGGCCCTTCTCGGCTGTGACCCCACAGAAGGAGCACGGGAGAACGTGGGGCTCGCTGTGGGAGGCCCTGGCAGTGCCTGCCGCACTGAGGAAGAGCTTGAAGCAGTATCCCTTGTCTTTCCAGGCCATCTGTCTGAGCCCTGTCTGCCAGGAGGGGCCCTGTGGGTCTAGGGTGGCGCACACTTGGGGGGAGTCTGCGGTTCCCACCAACCGACCTACTTCAGACACTAAAGCTAAAAACAGCACACTCCTCTTCGTTTTCCTCACATAGATCACCCCCCTGCTCACAGTGAGGAGGGAACCAACCCCTCCCCCCTAAAGTCAGTGTTTCTCCAGTAATTTCTGCTACTTCTGTGGGGCTCCCCCTGCCGGTGAAGGTGGAGTGTGGAGTGGATGCTGATGGGGAGGGGAAGGGAGATGGGTGGCAGCCATAAGTGGGCTCCTTTCACTGGGTGCTGGGCCAGCTGGCACTGGGGCGCTCCTCAGCGCAGAGCATGGCTTTGCATGCCACCCCCTCTGTGACCCTGGAGGCCTCCTAGGAGTCTGCAGCAGCCCAGTGAAGGGGTGGGTGGGAGGAAGGGGTCGGACAGCCTGCCAGCTCAGTGAGGACAGAGTGCCCGAGAGAGGGTCGGCAACACACCCAAGCCCACCAGAGATGTTGATCTGAGTGCAGACACACGGGCTGGGGGCTGGAGGGGAGACAGGGCCCTGCACACAACCACCTCAGCTCCCCTGCAGCTCCAAGAAGCCAGCATGGAGGAGCAGGCTGAATCCCACCCAGGGAGCACACCTTGGCTCCGCCCAGCCTCTGCTGGCAGTTGAGGCAGACCCTTGACAGCAGCAGGTGGAGGCAGGTCTCTGGTCTTTGAGGCAATGTCTGGGTGCTGGACACACAAGAGCCACTTGACTTCTCCGGATATTGGAGGCCGCCTGGGACCAGGCCGAGGGCTGCAGCACCAGCTGCCCGGTGGTTGCTGTGAGTCTCTGGGACCATCGCAGTAAAGTTTTTTTGCACTGACCCTGCTCTGTGGTTGGTTTTGTCTGGGGGTTCGAGGTCTGCCCCAGCCTGTACCTGAGGACAGCTTGGGAGTTTTCCGTGCAAAAGAGGGGAGAACCTCGGCACCAGGTACTAACGCGCATACCTTTAAGCGACGAAGGAAGGGGCAGTGGTTTCCCTACTTTTCTGGGTACCCCACAAATCAGAGCGTGCCGTGGCCGTCCGGTCCGGGGTGCAGCCGGCACGTTCCGCCCGGCCCCCGCTGCCCCAGCTCACTGCCATTGTGACCCATTTCTTGGGCTGCCCCCCTTGGTTGTAAACCTATTTCACCAGGACCCTTACCCTTCAGAGTAGGAGAGGGAGCGGATGATGGGGCGGCTGCCACCTGTGAGGA